TGCTCTTCCGATCTGGTGGAGACGGCGCGGTGGAAGACGCGTTTGGTGGTTAGGAGGGGGAGGATCGGGGTGTGGTCAGGGTTTGGGTTGGAGGATTCATCGTCAGGGTCACGGTCAGGGTCACGGTTACGAGGTTTGGAGAGGGAGAAGCGGAGTTGTGGGGGCGCGAAGAACCCAACCGTTGAATATGCGGCGGATGAGGTTTAAATATTGGTATTCTTCGTGGTCGGGGTTGGGAGGGGGGGAGGGGAGGCCATTGACGGACGAGGTTGACTGGGAGGGAGGCGTGTCAAGTGCTTTGGCATTTTCGGTCAGGAAGTTGACCGAGTGCGCTTCAGATGTGCCGTCTGAGACTGCTGATAAGGGCTCCATAGCTAGTTGAAAGACGAGCTCGAAGGGCAAGGAAAACCTCCTGTCAGTATCCCTACTATGAAGCTGAAGCTGCGCGATGACTCGATGAGGGGGAACGCGCGACGCGAGTTGGAGATCAAAGCTCAACTATACTCCATTGATCTTAGCCTATCCGGTCACGGATTTTCCCATAATCTTTGCTTGGCGATGACGTGTAGAACTGCCAGTGGACGTGAACTTCATAACTCGGAAGGATGACAAGCGTTGGGCAGCTTTCATTTTTCATTCATATACAGATTGTGACTTGACAAATGGCTATGTTCAGCAGGTTCTAGTACTCAGGCTTCATCCTCTCCATCCCCTCTGCCTGAGTGTGCTAGAACCCCAGATGTCAAAGCGGTTTCCAGAAGCGGTTTTCATCCCTTCTCAACAATCTCGCATATGTACAAGCAAAACAGGAGACACCAACCCACTTCGGTACCCAATCATAGTGACAATATTCCACCCAGGTGAAAGGGACGACACTCTACCGACTCCATTTTTGAGTCTTAAACCTCCGTATCTTTCCTGCTTGATGCGAGGAGAGGCGAAGTCACAATCTTCCTTTCCCCGTTGTTAAACTGGAACAGGAAGACAACCGTTATGTAGCCGCAAGCCAAACATTGGTGATGAGTGAAAGAATCTTCATAGGGGTCCAGCGTGGTACACGTCCAGCTGCCTGTCTCTTTCAACGCTGTTTTTACGGCAAATCGGTCATGCCAGAAGGGTCATGCGTATTCAAAGCACAAGCCAATTCTTGTTGTCGAATAGCTTAGTGGCGGGTTAGGTGAGTGAACGCTGGGCGTGGTGACAGGTGTCAGGGGCGGAAAAGGCCATTCGACAAGGATCCGTTTACATCACTGTTGGTTTCACCGGCAGTCGCCACCAGATAAGATGAAAGTTGAGAAACGGTCGAACAACTTAGAATCCATGTTGTACCATCGGCCGCATGTGTGCGCTCCCAGACTCAACACCTCCCTGCAGGTATTCCCTAAAGAGGCGAACCAGGCTGGGATCGGGAAAAGCCTATTGACCTGGTTGACTCGAGTGGCAAAGCCAAAGCAGGAGTGGCTGGGTGCCTGACGTGAGTGATAGCTTCGCAAACTCAGCCTCTGCACCACTGAGTCTAGCTTCTGAAGCCATTGGAAGCCGCGCAATGCAGCACACATACCCCAAGACTTTGCCAGCGGTTAGGTGTGGAAGGCGGGATCGCGAGATCGCAGGATCAGCCAATGGCATAAACTCTAATACCGCAAGTGGCTTTTGATCCTGGAATACCAACGATGATGTGTCAATTGTCTCGAGGGAAGACCTCGACTCCAGAGGCTTAGATACTCTTCAGTGTGAGTCTTCTTCTAGTACTCCTTCTCCCCTTGGCAATCATCTTGGCTCTGCTCTGTGCCTCCCTCATCTGCTTCCTAAAAGTGATGAAGTCAGGCCTTCTTCTGTGTGCTTCATGCCGAAAGTTAGAAGGATACGAGCTTTCCCTTTTGCTTCGTCTTTTCATGGCTGATTCGCTAGCATCCATCTCGTGGATGGCTGACACCTTTCTTGGTATTCCTTGGCCGTGATCAATCTTTTGAATGTGCTGGGTTCCTGGTACGATCAGTGATCTCGTGGATGGTTCAATTGCTGCAGAGATGATTTCAGCCGTCAAGAACGGATCCATGCGCTCCTCATCTCCGGGGGTGGACCCAAGAGGGTAAGCAAAACTACTTTGAGCCGTGGCAACATTCTCAGGTACCGGTTCGATATCTTCATCATAAGCCCCTTCACTACACGTTGAAGGTGGAATCAAGAGCTCTACCACATCTGGGGTCGTCGACGGCTCAATCAGCGCGATCATGACCTCCTCAGAGCCAGTATTGGACTCTGGAACACCGCGTTCTGGAGCCTGCTGATCCTCTGGAACGCTATGGGATGATGAGGAGCCCGCAAGACACACACTGTTCTGTCTTTGGCCCTCATATGGAACAACTAGTTCGTAAGAGGGCGAGAATAGCCGGTTTGGTTCGGAAGCATCAAGCTCGACGGGTGTCATTGCTCGCCGGGAAAGTGGATGTTTGAAGTCCATGTCTTTCAGAGGCAATGGTGGGGATAGGAATTGGCTTTTTGGGTTCGAATCAGTGTGAGAGTATTTGGGTAAGATATCTGTGCTTGCTTCCAACTCGGCTTGTCTCTTTGAGCGGAGCAGACGGAGGAGCGATAAGCGATGAAATCGTCTCGATGATGGATGTGATAACTCCTCGTCGTGTCCTGGATGCATGTTTGATGCCTGTGCCGGTACCATCGAGTTTCCGTCGGGCTCAGCAAATCTTCTAAGGTAGAGTAAACTACGCAAAGAGAATCGTTTCGAACGAAAAGCTGGATGACACGATTGAGTATCAGGACTCTCATCTTTCATTGCATCTTGTGTCTTTGCCGGTCGATCCTGACAGTTGGATGGTAGCTTCGTATGTCCTTCCAGCTCAGATACCTTTCTAATCCGCAAAATTTGTTGTAGGGACAAGCGCGTTGATTGATGAGCTGTTGGCAGCAGCGCAGGCTCGTTGACTTCCGCTCCCTGCTCCACATCCACGGACCTTGGCGGAGGAGGTAAAGGAGGTAAAGGGTTGATCTCCAATTCTGTTGGGGTCCTGACATGTCTTGGAGGATGTACATGCCGTGATGACCGAGGGGTGATGGAGATGGGCAACTCAGCTCTCCTCTCAACAGGTGCTGGTGGTGGCGGTGGTAGAGGCAACTGCATCGTCGACTTTCGCCCAGCTGGACTCCGCACATGCATGGAGTCCCGGTCCTCAAGATCTCTATCCGCGTTACACTCTTCCATGTCTGGCTTAGCTTTACCAACCCAACCGTTGAATGTTATCCTGTCGCGCTCAAGCAGGACAAATGGTCTCCGCTGGCGTCTTGGATGAGGAGTCCGAGAATGTGCTCGATGATGTCGTCTTCGCTTCCGAAACCAACAGTACCAAATGATGATAACAACGACCAGGATCACAGACACCACCGGGACAGCTATGACCACAGGAAGGATGGAATGGCCCTCCGTGGCAGAGTTCCGACCCTCCGCAGCCTGCGAATCTGCAATTGAAAACTGAGGCGAGGTGGCCATGACTTTGTCACTGGTCCCTGTCCTTTGGACAAGTTGGAACTCATAACCCGTCCTTCATATGTTAGCCCACAATACATGGTTGTCTAATAGACAGATGTCAAAATACCCAGCTGCAGTGTCCGCATCAAGATACGTTGTGAACGAGTTCACCGCTATGTCAACTCCCACTGTCTTTGGGACCGGCGGGTTTGTCCATGGATCGAGGAGGAGTAGAGTGATGCTTGGGGGATCATTACTGCAAATGAGAGGTTAACCTTGGAGAGAGAAGGGGAGCAGCTTTGCTGGGTAGTTCCAGGCACTGCTACTTTTCTCGCACCTGTCGGACGTCCACTGCACCGTTAAAGGCTCACCTCGAGCCCAAACAGTCTGATTCGTTGGATGAGTGAATGTGAGAGCCCACGACAGCTTGGTGAAATGAGAGATCACCAAAACTTGCCAGAGCACCCACAATGCCAGCATCGCGACCACAATTCATGAGTGCGCAGCTGCTCGATGATGCAGGAAAGGGAGTGAATGTGGCAACCACATGAGGATTTGGTGTTGTACTGACGATCTCTCGTTTCACCTGGAGCGGGACAAGTGACCAGATCAATTCAAGAACCAACGCCAAGTTTAGGCCTGATGTTACAAGAACCTGCATTAGCTCGGTGCTTCCGCCCCTTGTCTTCGACACCTTCTTGACGTTTGGGGCTGAAATTTAGTCAGACAATTGACCTCTGGCGCTTATCTCCAAATCAGAAATCTCCAAGCTCGCCCATCCAGCCCTAACTTACCGAGCAAACGCACAGCCCAGCCTCGTGGTACGGGCCAAAACTGAACCCTGCCCGAACTTTAGGCGCAATATCAACCCTCCTGCAACGCCGCTCAACGGGAGATGTTCCGGAGATTTTGGTCCATTAGGGAACAATCGACCCTTTGGCAACATTAAATTCGCTATGCGTCAGTGCTTTTTTTCGTGTCTTCTTGTCCAAAAAAGAAATTTCGAGTCGAAAAGGGGTATAAAAAGACGTAGGAAATGTATTACAGCAGAAAGCACAGGTAATGTATAAAATCTCTGGTGCATCAATCGACAGATTGAAGGTAGCGGAAAGCCCGCCATGGGCCTAGGACATGTATGAATCTTTCTTGCTATGTTCACCTGCGAGAGCAAATAGATCTCAGAAAATTTATGTTGGACCTTGGAGGTTGGCTGAGTCGGAACATGCCACAATCTCTCCAACAGACCAAGACATGCGTCGAGAATCAGATGGCTTTGAGCAAGTCTCGAGTAATCGGCATAACGTTCCTTGCGGTTGGGTTTCTCGGAAGGCAGGCAGGCAGGCCTCATCAGCATAATCTGCTTTGCGGCGTTCAGAGATCCTCAATCTGGACGCAGGCAATTAATCGCGGCACCGCGCGATTAGCAGACGCACTTTCAGCGAATTATGGCTCCTAGATTTTCTGAAGGAGGTTGATTCCCACCATTTGGAGGGCATCGACAGCCCACACAGGGACTTGCTTATCCTGAAAATATTTCGTAAAGAATTCCTGAACAAAATGTGGAAATCTGTCCTCAATGATGGCGTTTCGAACCATCCTCATTAATGAAAGGAGGTGATGAACATTGTGTATCGTCAAACTAGGACTGATTAGTCATGAGACCACGGATTCTTTGTGGTATGGAAGCTTTACAGGTGTGCTCCAACCGTCTCTTTTGCTGCCAGGTGATAAATCAAGGCTCGAGAGATGCCCATACCACCTACTTCTTTGGGTCTGCAGCAACTACAACCACATCCAGGCTCGATTGGGGAAAAGTCTTCAGAGTAGCTTGCGTGTTTCAAGTTGAGCACACCAGTAGAAGTGATAGCGTTGCCAAATCTCTAGGTAACCGTCAGACATCAAATAGAAACATCGAAGAATTGGAAACCATGCCGCTGTTCTTGTGGGCCAGACGCAGTCAAACATGTCTGCACCCAAAGCGATCGCCACGATAAGATCCTCTGGATAACCCTGCAGTCGTCAGCTTGTCCATCTGCCAAATCAAGAAGGGATATTTACAATCCCCATAACGTATCTAGGCTTGCCTTCCGGCAGAACTTCAGTGCAAGCATGCACGCTGTTGACTCAGTCATAGTTGTGCCATCCAAGGTTCGTCGACTTACACTTTACAAAATTCGTCCTTGGCCTCTCCCCCAGACAGACCGCCTATAGCGATGCCTGGCGTGTCGCGTAGCACCATTGCCTCACAGCACTGTCGCCTCAGTTTCAGGTCGAGACCGCCTTGAATGATACAAAAAAGGTTCTGTTTCTGGGGATATTGGTGGGATGCAATGCAGCGATCGAGCCATCGGATCGAACGTTCCATGGCCTCCTTCATACGTTCATGGTCAGGTGAAGTAGTCTGAATAACGTCGTCGAGCTGCATTATAATGTCTGATCCAATCGAATTCTGTAGGGACATTGAGTGCTCTGGGGTGAGGAGCCTAGAAAGATTAGTTCCCATAAACGGTGCTGTTGTAGGGAAACAGACATCGGGGATCCATCATGCGGGCTGAGAAAGCGAACGCCTTCCTCTGTCACTTTTGCCAATCTCAGTAAAGAGACCATCTGGAAGCTGCACACCATGAGTTCCGCTGGGCATCAACAGCAATTGCAGAGCAGTCACCAACCCACCACTATCGGTTAAGATATTGTAATTCCATCCTTGAAGCTTGTGTGCACCTCCAATGGCATCCAGAACCGCTTGCCCGGGCTTCAGGCCGAGGTGATAGGTATTGTTAAGGCATAGCCTACAACCAGTTTCTTCGAGTTGCTCGGCAGTAAGTCCTTTCAGAGAAGCCTGCGTGGCCACAGGCATAAAGATAGGAAGCTCTACTGAGCCGTGAGGTAGGTGGAGGATGGATGCGCGGGCTTTGGTGGTCTGAGGAATTTTGTCAACGTGAGCAGGTTACCGCTGAGCAGAGCACACTCACAGAGCATCGAGCTTTGAGCTCAAAGACCAGAGCCGACGAGCGAGACGACACAGACATTGCACTGGAAGCCTGTTCATCGACTGAGGTCTCTGCACGAGTAGGAGCGGTGTGGAAAGAATGTGACTGGTAACACGACGGTCTAGAAATTCGACGGAACGAGATCGCTGGCTTCCTGCATCTCATAGATGCGTCTACAGATTCCAAATGCGGAATCTCCGAATTTACCGACAGCTGTACTCCCTGTGGATCGACTTTCCAGGACAGTAAGCTGGACCAGAGATGATGTACCACAGAGCAGACGCGCTGTAGGGCTGGAGGTTCGGAAATAAATTAATGCATGCAGAGATCCACAATTCCAATATTACTAGAGTATGCTGTGCAACAAGTCTCGATGACTTTTAGATTCCCCATCTCATATGCTCCCTCTTAGCCCATAGACCTGATATCTCAGCATGGCCTAACCACGGTTCCAGATCATTTGTACATATGTTACCAGAGACGAGGTTGGGTACGTTTAGGTCACATCTTTGGTGCTTGTTGCGGTGAGGAACATGTAGCCAGTCGTAGCTTGCGGATCTGACGCAAATAAAACTTGTATTCTGATCTATGTCTTATCATGTCATGCGCCTTATTCTTCAGGACCGAGGTCGTGCTGGACCAACGCCGACTCCGTCGCCAATGCAACCCGCAGCCGAACCAAGTTTGGTCAATAACGAAACAGAGGTGAAAAGTACGACCCGAAACCCGAACCCGCTAGCCAGGTCACATTCCCGAAATGAACATCCTAATAGTGTACACCTGTCTCACGGAAGATTTGTTCCAATCCATCCTCGCCAATATCACTGACAGCGTGGCCAGCCGCGGGCATATCCGGCTTGGCCCTGAAAGGTTTGCTGGGTGCTGTCCGTTTGCTGGGCAAACTGCATAAGAGCCACTTCGGCTGCATCCTCCTTTGCGTTGTTGAGGAATTGACCATCGTACCAATAGCGGGCAGCTATGTTTCGGCCTTGAACGGTAACGGTGCTGGACCAGGCAGTGCGGCCACCTTCATGTATGTCAGAGTTTTAAGACAGCATTGTTGAGGAAAGTCGAAGGTAGACTTGTGGCGGGGGGAGTATGCCTACCACGGCGGTCTGAGATGATGTTGAAGACAGGAGCACCCATGTGTGCATTCCGACAGTAATCTTGACGAAGAGTCAATCATGAACAACGGTTGGATAAGGATCTAAGGTCTCGGGTACCAATCAGCTGCTCCTGCTTCCCAGTAGGCGATGGAGACAAAGGCTGTGCGCCTGCCATTATGGAATGATGGTGGTAAGACAGCAAGAGAAGGTATAAGATTTGCAGTTAGGTGCGAGGATCAAGGCTGAGGAAGAAAACGCAGTGGGAGATGAAGGGGAATTTGCAGGAAGATATGGACGAAGCGGCTGCAGGTACAAGACATTTTCGACCTGTAATGTTCAGTATAACATGTGTGTCGACGACGTAGGACAGTTGCAGCAATTTGGGCCAGGAAATGCACCCACTCTCCCTTGAGGCATCTACGTCCACTGGAGCGGTCCGTAGCGGAGATGGTGACCTGCTGGAGTCAGAAGGTGGAATTGGAATGACGATCGAATCGGTGTATGTTTGGGTAACACAAAGACTTCAATGCGGTTTAGACCACTTCAAAAAGGCGACTCGTGTTCTCTTTTGAAGCGATGCATTCCGTGCCATTGCTGCCCCACACACAGTACTTGGAGCCGCTGCCAGCTCAGCAAATTTGACTAGTGAAGACGACCTGAGCCGAAGAGATAATCTGACACAGCCTGATATCAAGTCAGACTGGCGTTCATGTTCGCCAACCAACGATAGCGAAAGTAAGGCAATAGCTTCACTTGAGTAAGGGTTGGTAGTGGATCTGGAGACATCGCAACTAATGCACGTTGGAAGCAGCAGACGGCCAGAAAGGGAAAGTCTGCTAGGTGTTTCCTGCTGGCAGACGAGGCGTAATTTGATGTCGTGAGTGGCAACGGAGAAATGTTCATCGTTTGTGGTCGCTTTAAAACCTCGATTGGTTGAGGGATGGTTTCCTCTCTCTTGGGCAGCCCTGCAGCGTGGCCCCCACTCTTTCGCCTGTAGGATTTCTGGTGCATACCCAGGGAGAAAATGTGAAGACAAGCGAACCCAGTTGCGTGGCCATGCTCTAGAGATTTCAATGTGCGCTTGGTGCTGCAGATTGGCTATAATATACATATATTGGTCGGCTCGACTTACCGTCCAGAACACAGATTGAAGCGAGCCCTGAGGATTCCTTGCTGTTCTCTTGTTCTGCAGCAATATAAAAACTCTCTGCAACGTTGTAACCTTGATGCTCACGTCTGCACCTCAAAAATGCAAAAGCATAAGTCTCAACGTAGCCTGTAACACCAAATGGCCCCACGTTACCTAGGATGCTGGTTGGCGATCGTTTGTGCAACCACAGAAGCCACAACTCATTAACCATGATGCACAGATCATGTTTCCAGAATTATTCTCAAAATCGGGCTTGAATACAGCCAGTGCAGAATAGGCGGCGTATCTGCGATAGGAAAGGCATCTCCAACGGTCAGAGGTAAAATCGTGCATTTGCTAGTAGTTGTGTTGTGTTGTGACAATGTTGCGATTGAAGATCTTATCAATCAGTTCATCTGGTCCCATGGCACCTGCGCTTTCTTGAAAGGGCAAGTCGAGATGGAAGCTCCGCTTGCTGTGCCAGCGACGTTCGATACAGTCATCCACCAGGGCAATGAGACCAGTCGCAACAAGGGTGCTTCGCAGATCGGTCAGCAGACGCTCATTGAACGAATAATGAAAGTACTCACTCGGCAACATCGGTCAAGCTTTGGAAAATCCGCCTGTCTGTTATTTGCATAGTGCAAGGCGGCACCCAGCCACCAAAATCCTCCTCTTCCTGGGCCTCCCTGGCGGTCAACGATTTTGGTGTAATGTGAGCAATCGATTTGGATGTTTTGTCACTTATCAGATGGTATGAGACCTCCTGGGTACGGCCATGTTGGTAAATCTGGCGCCGCCATGTGTACTTCGTTCCCCAGAACTCATACTCATACCTCTTCGACCTCTTCAACCCCTGTTTGTTTAAATTGATATGCGCATAGTTCGCAAACTCTAGGTGAACCGTGTTGGTTGTCGATGCGGCCATTTCTGGCGAGCGACGTTCTGCGTTCGAAGGTGTATAATACTGGCTCGCAATTGAAAGCTGCCCTGGCTCTTGCTCTGAAGAGGCACTAGGGTGCGAGACAGATCCTGAGTGGTTGGGACGAGGTTGTTGAAAAGCATGACCAAGCGATTGCTGAAGGTGTGACTTTGCAGGCATCCGCACTGGCATAGGTGAGAACTTGCGGCTTGAGCTGCATATCTGCCGGCCTGAGTCTCGACAGTATCGTCTCAAGGAGAAACGTCTGTCTTTCAGATCATGCATCTGCAGATGGAAGAGGATGAGCTTCCGTGGACGACCATGAGAATCAACAACCTCGGTGTCGACGCGGAGATTCATATTTCCATCGCTGGTAGCATCGTCGTGTTGAATATGGAAGGTACGATTCGAGGTGAAAGACTTTGCAAAGTCTGCTGGAGTGGATGCAATTGCATCCGACGCATAGACAGCGTAACGAGTCACTGGTGCCTCGAATTTTGGATGATGGACCACGTCTTCTGAGTCAAGTGTCGAGGCGTAGGTGTCGCCTGAGGCCAAAGAGGAACAGGAGCTTCCATAGTCATCATAATCGAGAGGCTCTTCAGCACGAGCAGAATGGTCGTGGTGGTACTTCAAAAGCGACTTCTCGCTACATACCGCCAGTGGGCGAGCCGTGCTGTGGATCTTGGCCGATGCATCGCTGCGCAATGAATTTGTGCTGCTTCCACTGAAATGGGATCGACAGGAGAGTTGACGACGAACCATCTTGTCCTATGATACTACTAATAGGAAGAAGGCTTGGTGCACAAAGACTGGATCTGGACTGCGATCTGTAGCTTGTCAAGGAGATTCGTGCCCACAGATGCAATTAAGCAGTAGGCTCAGAAGTCTCGATGATGCTGCGGATTCAAAATGGTGGCTCTGGACGCCTTAAATGATATATGAAATTCGGCATGAACTCAGGGACCTTGGTCAGACGAGGAAGTGTCCTTGATCCCATGGGGGCGAATGACTGGTAATCCTCAGCTCTTGCATGCGAGGGTTCCAGGTTATGGCGTTTCACACATGAACACACCCAGCGACCTTGACCGAGTCTGGACGAGCCGCGGATCAAAGCATTAATGTTTCGACTTTTGTTTATGCTCGCACGATGTGGGGGGCAAGATTTCATGGTCTTCCTTGTAAGATATTACATAAAACATTGCGATGTTGGAGCTCCAAAGGCGAAGTAGCCCTTGTTGTCTCTTCCTGCAGTGTTGTTGTCTTACTAGCACTTCCCAGCAGGACCAGTGGACCAGTGGTTGCCTCGCCATCAGCTCTTCAGCGTTCATGCAAGGTCTTCAGAGGATACCCTCGGCATTAACATCAACAAAGGGCACTGCATCTTCGGCCTATCCATAGGACCCTTATCCTTGACAGCTGATCTCTTACCTCTGTCCTCGACTCCCTTGCGGACACCAGTCCCTGGATCGGATCTGGTGGTCCTTAAGCCAAGCGCCACATCTAACGCCCATGCTCACTAGCCTTACGCATCCAGAACGAGCACTGCATTTCACATGGTGAGCTCCGTACAACAATCGTCACCTTGCATTCGCGGCTTTCCTATTGGCTTGTGTATGTGACTTAAAATCAGCGTCATTCATTTATGCATAGTACCTTGCTTTGGAGCTGCATTAATCATCTGACAGTGGAAAGAGACATGTTAGCTGATGATCAGAATATTAAAATTGGCAAAAGACACAATCCTAGACTGGGTAAAGAACTTCTACACAAGTCTAATCCAGGTCTAGTAATGAGCGCGATCCCCGGTTTACAGGTTGTCACTCATCTTGCATATACAAAGGTGCTTCTCATCAGCCTCGACGGCTTGAGGGATTAGACCATACCCCATAAGGGCCTGGGCAACTCGAGCATTGTGTCCGAGTGGGAGGCAAATCTTTGGTCGCCCAGGCCAACATATGCCTCACGTCTAGCAGGATCACCCACGGTTATTGACCAAGTTCGAAGGCCATAGTAAGTTGCAATGGAATGCACAAGCCAACGACTATAGCACGATTAGCATCTCCAGCGATCCCGGGACAACGAGTCTATACTCACCCAAAGCTGGCTCCACGATCATCTGCCAACCCATCGAACACCAACTTGTCTCGATGAAGGTCCTTGAAAGCTTTGTCTCGGGTTGGACAATCATGCATTTGGCCATTTCGTCCAATGAAGACAATTTCCTCCTCTTCTGAGTCCACATCATGTAAACCATCTTCGAGCGACCTTGTTTCCTTCTCGTTCCATTTCTGCAAGAAGATTCTGACCTCTTCTTCCAAGTCTTGTAAGAGGCCCTTGGCAGCTCGGGCGTGCTTGAGCTTGGCACGAACCTCCTTGGGTACATTTGAGGCAGCTTCCTCAACTGGACCAATGCCAGCTCTTCGTCCCTGTTTTCTCCCTCTCATCTTTCTTTCGATGCGTTTCTCGAAGGCCTCTGCGTCCCACAACGGCGCCAAATAGTACGGCACTGCATGCCTAGGATAGGTTGGTTGGACTTCCCAGTCACTTGGAAGAGGCGGCTGAGCCCAAGGGTTGTTCATTAGACGATCTATAGGGCAGTTGCGTCAGCATCTGATGCTGTTCAGATCATATTTCTGTGAAGCGGCGTACCATTCTCCCACCTGCGTCGCTGACGGCTACCTTCTTTCCCCTTGAGGAGTGCCTCACGACGTTTAAGACTGTCGCGGCGAATCGGCTCGCTCCGACCATATGTAGTGTGCACTTGCCGAGAGGCAGGTATTCCCCCTAGCCCAGTTCCCAGAGCCCGCGGTTGGCGTGTCTCGTCCAGAGGTACTGTAAGGGTGACAGATGCGCCACGAGGAACTCGTTGGGCTGTCTCGGCTGACAGATTGACCGATCTCAGACCTTCAGTGGCTTGTTCTGTCGATGCTGCCATATGTGTGCTCTGCTGAGGGAGAGGTGGAGGTTCAACCGCTGAGACCATGATGGGATAGACAGCCATATCGTTATCTGGTGAGTCTGGTTTAGACTAACAAGCTGGCGAGCTGGAAAGGCCTTCTGCAACGTCTTTGTTCTGCGTACACAAAGCGGGCGCAAGAAATTGAAGAATCTGCCTGCTTCTGCAAGAATGAAATGGGAATTTCTCTGATTATACTGAGAAGTGCTGAGGGAGGAGGTGACGGACACGACTTACTGTACTACGTACTACGTAGTAGGGGCAGATAACAATCGGCCGAACCCTGTTCGCGGCGCCCCAATCACATCGGAGTCATCAAACACGACTCACCAAGATTGAGTCACGAATATCTAAATCAGCCACAGATCTTGTAGTCCGTATGATACTCGTACACATGATCACAGTGGACCTAGCACACCGGGTTACTTGGTCTTTCTGGACACATAGAACAGTGCATGTAGATATGGCTATGGGCGCCTCAGGCGGCAGGACCATGTTATTTACCCCGGATCCGAGTCGTTTACAGTTAGATACTACTTAAGCAGGTTTGAGCAAACAATGTCCAAGCATATATTCGTATCAGCGACGTTTTCTTCACGCTAAAGGATTACCTTCGCTCCTAGTACATCGATAACGTTCATTATGAAGCACACATGTGCACTGGTGCTGGCCATCACTGCCGTGACAGCTTCCGTCATCCCGCAACTTCAGCAGATTGCTCTCCAAGACCAGGTCCCAGTTCTGCAGGAGGAGTTCCTGATAGAGCTTCAACCCGGGAAGACAAGATGGATCACAGAGGATGAGAAATGGGCGCTTAGAAGAGTATGGCCACCTCGAAGCGTGTCCCTGATCCCAAGCTGACCCGACCACCGCAGGAAGGTCACAACTTCATGGACATAACCTCTACCGGCCATACGTATCCCGCCGTCTCACTTGCAACGCAACCCACCTCCAAATCCATCTTTCCATCCAAAGCAGCCTACAACTCCACCGTGAAGTCGCTGGCCAAATCGCTCGAAAAGAAGCACATGCGTAAACATCTCGAAACCTTCACCGCCTTCTACACCCGCTACTATAAATCTTCCACTGGCGTCGAATCTGCCAAGTGGCTCTATGACCAAGTCAACTCCACTGTCGTTTCCTCAGGCGCAGATCAATACGGAGCAAGCGTTCGCCTGTTCGACCATGAATGGGGCCAACCCAGCATCATCGCCACCATCCCCGGGAAATCCAACAAGACTGTCGTGATCGGCGCACATCAAGATAGCATCAACCTCTTCTTTCCCTCCCTGCTGCCCGCTCCCGGCGCTGATGACGATGGTAGCGGTACCGTGACCATCCTCGAAGCACTGCGCGTGCTCCTGACATCCGAGGAGATAGTCAAAGGTGAGGCAGCGAACACGATCGAGTTCCATTGGTATTCAGCAGAGGAAGGCGGGTTGTTAGGCAGCCAGGCCATATTCGCCGAGTACAGCCGACAGGGAAGAGATGTTGCTGCTATGTTCCAGCAAGACATGACCGGCTATGTTCACAAGACCCTGGAAGCTGGTCAACCAGAAAGTGTTGGCGTAATCACCGACTTCGTCGACGTTGGGTTGACAGAGTTTATCAAGGAACTCATCACCACCGTAAGCTGATCCCCCCCAAAACCCTCCCCCTCCCCCCTTCTCTGCACAGCAATGCCTAACATAACGTCCAACCTGCCTTTAGTACTGCGACATCCCCTACGTCCTAACAAAATGCGGCTACGCCTGCTCCGACCACGCCTCGGCCAGCAAATACGGCTACCCCTCCGCCTTTGTCATCGAATCGGATTTTCAATACTCGGATAACAAGATACACACCACGGAGGATAAGATTGAATATTTGAGCTTTGATCATATGCTGCAGCATGCTAAGTTGACTTTGGCGTATGCGTATGAGGGAGGAATGGCGGAGTTATAGGATTGCCGTAGTGGATTGTAGGGAGGGTGGCCGCTTGAGTAGAAACGTTGGACTGCTGTAGATGTGTTGAGCACTGACCCTGGTATCATCGGACGGTAGAACTAGATGATTTTAATGGCACGTCGGCGCTGGAAGGGTTGAGCTGGTATCCATCAAGTAAGCGGAGTGCGGAGCACAGTTGCGGTAGTTTCCTATTATAGGATGAGCTGCTAGGAAGGTCGGAACCATGGGTGACCTCCACCACCAAACGTGTATGATGTTTCTCGACGTGATTCTCTCAATTACCCCCAACTTTTCTCACAGGGGTGCAAAAGCCCAATTTCCATAGAGTTAGTGCCGACTCAAACATGATACTCACATCACAGTACACATTCCATCGCTCTTTTCCCTCGTTCCGCCTCTCCTCACCACCGCCTTCTCCTGAGCCTCTCTCCGCCTAGCCTCCTCCGCTCGCGCTTTCGCAAGTGGATACTTCCTCCTCATCGCATACCCACCCCATCTTCTACCGTACGCCTCCATCTCCCTCTCTTCCGGCTGCAAGGCCCCCATATCTCCCTCTGTCTGGCAATTCGATGCGTCCTTCTTTCCCAGAAAGATCTGCTCTCCTCTCTCTCCAGCAGGTTGACTTCTTTCCCGGTTCGCACGCGCTCGTTCGACGCTGAGATTCTGTTTCGAGAGTCTCGTGCTCTGCTTAGCGTGGTTTGCTGGGCCCTTTTGTTTTTGCTGCTCTTCCTTGGCGAGGATCTTGTCGTATTCCTTGTTGAAGCGCGCGGTGTCGCGCTGGTCTTGACGGACTGTTTTGAAGGTTTGTGATGAGTGCTTCTCGCAGTAGCAGGTCAGTTTGAGGTCAATGGGGTTCTGGAGAAGGAGCTTGCATGTGGCGGTTGGCTTGGGGCAGGTTTGCTGGTAGAATTCGCCTTTGCAGCCACAGAACTTGTAGATGGTTTGGATCGATTGACACATCTTTGGCTGCTTGATCAATTGGGTGCAGAAGAAGCAGGGAGAATGTCGAGACTTGGTTACTATGGATGCATCCTACGCACCTTTGGTCAAGCAACGTTCTCGGCAGAGGCTACAAGGTCTCAGACGTGTCTTGATGTAAAGATGTATCCGGAGACAAGGTAAGCACATTCGAAAGGTATTCGTGGTGAGTGATGGCTTGTGAACAAAGAATCTTGCACACAAGGTTTCTCCCAGGCACAAAGTGGAGCACGATCTTTGTACTCCGAATGCGGGCGACTGGAGGTCCTATAGATTGTTCATTGAGATCCATATTTCAAAAGAACGTGGCATTATAAAAATAGATGGAATTCTAAGACACGATGGATTGAGTTGGTGGAGTCATCCATGTCACTTTCCTGCCCCCAGCCGAGAGCATTGCCGTCAGGCAAACCGGACGGACACTTCATGGCGATCTGTGCCTCAGTACATGGCCCCATGGGACTTGCTTGACCAGCAAGGCGAGACATGTTCTTATCAAGCATAGAACCGTTCACTGAAGGCAGAATGGGGAAAGTGATTGCTGTTACTTGTTTGATTTGTTGTCAAGGTGATGGTGCTATCACCACTTTAAGGTTGAAATCATGAAAATGCGAAGCGCGGAGTTGAAGAGGGTGTGTCCATCACTGTCCTTTGTGCGTGCTTTAATGACGATTCCCCAAAGATGTGTAGTCTCAGAGTGTAGTCTCAAGAAAGGAAAAGGAGCTGAGTCCTGTTGCCCAGCCAACGACACTAATACTTATTCAGACTAGAAGTGTTTGCAGGCTGAGCAATCAGCGTTCGCAGCTCTGGCATCCGAGTACTACGTAGCATCACAGGCTGCTTGCTGGTCTGAGCTTCCTACTTTCCGTGTAGCAAGCGCTGCGTTAATTACCAGATGTCAGTTCTGCGCATGTCATACATCGCTCTGAAGATTCGCTGAAATTTGCTGAAAGATACAAGCTGTTTGACTTGTGCAATATCGTCTACTCTACGCTGAGATCATCGAGGATAAGCAAAGCAATACGGCGACGATTTTGTTATGGACAGAACACCTGTAGTCTCTGGAGATCCACCAGGGTATGGTGATGATTCCCCGTCCTACTTTAACACTCCGACTGAGGAGGACCCGTTCACATCGAATATGCGAGGAAATGGCTCAACCATGCGATTGCTTCCCCAGAGCCATGAGACTGAGTATAGACCGTATGTACCTTCTTCTTCTGGTTTTAGGTACCCTCCGCAGGAAAGAATCCCTCCCTCACCCAAGCGCAAGCCTGTTGCGACAGGACGCCAGGTCAAGTGGCAGGATTCCCAGTCCAAAACTGCGCGCCGCAGGAACACCCCTCTGTCTTCGTTGCTGTCCGAAGCGCAAGAAAAATTGGACAAGATCCCACCTGTGGTGACTGGTCATGCCCCAATGCTAAAAGCGCGAGTGACGTTAAAACGAAGCCCAAACACTAATAGAGTGCCATCGTATAGAGCCCAAAGACCCTCGCCCGAGAGGTACCATAGACCTACCGTTGCCACGTTGCAGACATCGCGACCAAACTCGAGCCTTGGTCAGACACCTTTAATACCTCCTCCTGCTGCGACTCGACACATCTCACCAGAGCGAACATCCCCCATCAGACCAGGCACACCGTTGAGAGATGCAGCGGATTGGACGCGACCACCAGCAGCGAGCGTAGCATATGAGCCTGCAGACCTGAATGGCAGCCCCCGGCCTGGCTCTTCTGCATCAAAATATGGTGGCAGTCCCCGAAGACCACTACCTCCTGCGCCGCTGTTCGCAGGCGCTGGCGCACCAAGAACATCGTTGGAGGAAACTGCGATTCCAATACCAGACTCGCCCGAAGATGTCTTTGTGGGCGCGAATGCTCACAAGCAGACCACTGTGGATCCTCGTACGTCCATGAAGTCACACGATTCCTACCTCTCCGAATCCACCGTCACAGAAGAGTACGAGCCGGAGAAAGCCGAGAGTTCCGATCACTATGGCCCTGCGCCCGAAGGACGACAGGACCGCCGTGGCCTGAGGGAGGCACAAATGATCAAGAAAGAAGTCAGGCTGATCAATGGAGAACTCATTCTTGAATGTAAAATACCGACCATTCTTCACAGCTTCCTGCCACGAAGAGATGAACGGGAATTCACTCACATGCGATACACAGCGGTGACCTGTGACCCTGACGACTTCGTGCTCAAAGGCTACAAGCTTCGACAAAACATCGGCAGCACAATGCGCGAGACGGAACTCTTCATTTGCGTCACCATGTATAATGAGAGCGAGATTGATTTTACCCGAACCATGCACGGCATCATGAGGAACATCACGCATTTCTGTTCACGAACCAAGTCACGAACATGGGGGAAGGATGGTTGGCAAAAGATTGTTGTATGTGTGATTGGGGATGGCAGGAGGAAAGTTCATCCCCGGACCCTGAATGCGCTGGCCGCGATGGGGGTCTATCAAGAAGGCATTGCGAAGAATATTGTCAACCAGAAAGAAGTGACTGCCCACGTCTATGAATATACCACACAAGTTTCGCTGGACGAAGGATTGAAGTTCAAGGGGGCCGAGAAGGGCATCGTACCATGTCAGATGATATTTTGTATGAAGGAGAAGAATCAGAAGAAGCTGAACTCGCACCGATGGTTCTTCAACGCCTTCGGGCGGGCCTTGACTCCCAATGTCTGCATCCTGCTCGACGTGGGGACCAAGCCGGAACCAAAAGCATTGTACTACCTATGGAAGGCATTCGATCAAGATTCGAACGTGGCTGGCGCAGCGGGGGAGATCAAAGCTGGCACTGGAAAGGCATGGCTTGGGCTCCTCAATCCGCTCGTGGCGTCGCAGAATTTCGAATACAAGATGTCGAACATCCTCGACAAGCCTCTGGAATCGGTCTTCGGATACATCACCGTGCTCCCTGGAGCATTGTCGGCATACCGGTATTATGCCTTGCAGAATGACACATCAGGCCACGGACCCCTGAGCCAGTACTTCAAGGGCGAAACGTTGCACGGCCATGATGCGGATGTCTTTACTGCAAACATGTATCTGGCAGAGGATCGTATCTTGTGCTGGGAGTTGGTAGCGAAGAGACAGGAGCAATGGGTGTTGAAGTTTGTGAAGAGTGCTGTTGGGGAGACAGACGTACCTAGTAAGCAAGGTCCTCGCTCAGATGGTGCCTGATACGTGACTAATTCTCTGCTTCCAGGCGAAGTGCCCGAATTCATATCGCAACGTCGCCGCTGGCTCAACGGAGCCTTCTTCGCCGCCGTCTACTCGCTCACCCACTTCCGGCAGCTCTGGCGCACCGACCACACCATCACGCGCAAAGTGCTCCTGCACATCGAATTCGTCTACCAATTCATCTCTTTGCTGTTCACCTTCTTCTCCCTGGCCAACTTCTACCTCACCTTCTACTTCATCGCTGGAAGCCTGTCCGACCCCAAAATCGACCCCTTCGGCCACAACATCGGCAAATACATCTTTGTCATCCTCCGCTACGCCTGCGTGCTGCTGATCTGCCTCCAGTTCATCCTGAGCATGGGCAACCGGCCGCAGGGCGCCAAACGCATGTTCTTCTCCACCATGATCACCTACTCCATCATCATGGCCTACACCACCTTCGCGGCGCTGTACATCGTCATCATCCAACTCAAGTCCCACACCCTGCAACCCGTGGCGCCAGACTCGTCCGCCTACCGGCTGGGCAACAACATCTTCACCAACCTGATCGTCAGCACCGTCTCGACGGTCGGCCTGTACTTCCTCATGTCCTTCATGTACCTGGACCCGTGGCACATGTTCACCAGCTCGGCGCAATACTTCGCCCTGCTGCCCTCGTACATCTGCACGCTGCAGGTGTACGCCTTCTGCAACACGCACGACGTGACGTGGGGCACCAAGGGCGACAACGTGATCCACACGGACCTGGGCGCGGCCAACGCGGCCAAGGGGTCCGGCAACGTGGTCGAGGTGGAGATGCCGTCGGAGCAGCTCGACATCGACTCCGGCTACGACACGGCGCTGCGCAACCTGCGCGACCGGCTCGAGGCGCCCGTGTGCGCCATCTCGGAGAACCAGGCGCAGGAGGACTACTACCGCGCGGTGCGCACCTACATGGTGGCGGTGTGGATGGTGGCCAACGCCATCCTGGCCATGAGCGTCTCCGAGGCCTACGCCCTCGACAAGGGCATCGCCGACAACACCTACCTCAAGTTCCTGCTGTGGAGCGTCGCCGCCGTCGCCATCTTCCGCGCCATCGGCAGCTCCGTCTTCGCCGTCATGGCCGTGCTGGCCGTCGTGGTAGAGGGCAGGTTTCGCGAGAAGGTGGGCCGCTGGTTGGGCGTCGGAGGCGCCAAGGCCGGCGACGGCGAGAGTAGTGGCAGTGGCAGCGCCAGGACGCCCAGTGAGGGCGCGCTCACCATGTCCGTCATCAGCAGTGGCATCTCCAGCGGGCTGAGCGTGCTGAGCAGCAAGATCAGCAGCGGCTTCAGTTGGGTCAGCAGCAGGAGTGGGAGATAGAGGGAGAGAGAGAG